AGTGCTGGGAGTCATCGCCAAACGTCAGGCGGCACTGGTGGTCTGCATCGTAGACCGTCCCGGGCAGGGGCTGGGGCAGCAGCTGAGGTTTGACCGGTTTATCCAGCAGGCACTGACCATGGCCGTTGTCCAGGAAGGTGGTGACCATGAGGGCGGAGCAGGGGGACCATGGCTGCTGCTGGTCCAGGTTGGACAGGGTGGAGGCCATCATGTGGGAGCCCCAGTGGGCACCGTTGACCCCGGAGCACAGCTGAGCGTCATCATGAGGCATGTTGAAGACGTGGCCTGGAGGACAGAGATGAAATAAGGGTTCTTTGAGCACCTGGTGTGTGTGTGTGATTAATTTTACATTGCAACAGTTGGTTTTTTTTACACACATTAGGATTTTTTCTACTTACCCAGCTCGTGTGCCACTGTAAATGCTGCTTGCAGCCCATCATCCTCAATAATTGAGCAGCTTCTGTCAGGGTCACACACTGTGCCAACATCTGCCATGCCCAGAGTGTCACAAGAGTGGGCGCCACACAGGTCCTAAACAGACAGAGAGAGGGCAAAATGAATGGTTGAATATTCCTGAATGCATCCTCTCTCCCTCTTTTTCTGTCTAAACACAGTTCCTCTTCTCCCACTGCCACTTACCGTCCTGGTGAAGAGCACGGCGGTGTCATAATGTTCGGGGTGGCGGTCGCTGGCTGGGTTGTGCTGCCGCTGCCACTGGCAGAAGTTGCGGAGGGTCATGGCGGCGTTAGACGACACCTGAGGGCCTCGCTCCTCCTCGTACACCACCAGCAGCTTCACCACCGCCAGGCTGATGGAGTTGTGGATGCTAGGGTGGCGGTAGAGGCGGGATGCCACTGCCATGATGGTCAGCAGGTAGGGTTTGAGCCCGGCGCCATGGAACTCAGCCATGGACTGGTCGGCCACCAGCATGATCTCCAGGTAGCGAGGGGTGGAAACAAAACGCCTGGTCCTGTGGTGGGCTGAGGGGGGAGAAGAGAGAAAGAGAGGTCAGACCAAATTAGGTTCAAAGGTCATGTGAGCTGATATGAGATTTAAGTTTTGAGACATTTTTGAGAGAAGTGGTTCAGTTTGTCTGGAACACTCTGCACACTGTCAATCTGTTCTAAATAGCAGATACAAAGGCTCGTTTTTTCTAGGGGATAGAGGCTCCAAAGGGAGGCCCGGATGTGCCTGGAGGAGCCTGGCTGTGACTCAGCGTCACACCACCGGCGGCCCCTCCTCCTCAGGGTCCACATTCCTACAATGACCTTCTCTGGTGGAAAACTGTGCGCCTGAGAAAGGCCGAAAATCCTTTCTGGGGAAAAATGTCTGCCGGTGCGAGTTGTACCAGGAGGCGAGTTTACACGTCTCAGCACTGCCGGGCTCCGGCTGGTCCCAACCCCGCTGCTCCCCTCCCCTTCCTCCGTCACTCCTCCTCCCTTTTCCCCCTAGGAGAGGTTCGCCTCCCTCTTTCCTCCCCCCCCCGCCTCCCTTCCTCCTCTCTGGCTGTGCGTAACGGCGCTGTCAAAAAGGTAGCTGAGTCTATTGCGCATGCTGTGGACTCTGGCACACGCACAACTCCAGCTGACAGCAGTTTGGTCTGCATACTCACTACACTCAGTGACTTATATAAAAGATAAGTCATTTGCTTTCAGCTTTAGATGCGTTTAGTACATTTCACGCCATTCTATAGAGTAAATAAATCACCTTTTCTGTTTTCTTGGCCAGTTTTAAGGTTGCTGGTCTGATGATTTAGGCTCACACTCTCATAAAGGGAGTAATAAACTGTAAAATGGGCGTAGTGTTCTGCAGCCTTACCTGTCTGGTCTGCGTTAGCGGCTCCGTGCCTGGTTTCTTTCTCCAGATTCTTTGGCACCCTCTCCTCGTCCTCGTTGACCCCGCACTTTGAGCTCCCCTCCTCAGCCAAAGCTGCCCGACCTCTCCGGCGGATCATGTGGACATCCTCCTCTGTGCCCAGGAAGTCACTTGAGTTAAGGGGCTGAATAAAATACTCTTCACCCTGAAAGTAGAATCCGCCCCTGAGTCCGTGGCACAGGTTGAGCGCGGCGGCAGAGTGCTCCTCTCCGTTCACTGTGCCCGAGAAGAAGCAACCCGGCTCGGTTCCGCTCTTGGGTTCCTGTGTCGGTTCGGATTCGGGACTCCCCACAATGTGGAAGACGAAACCCGGCGCCAAGAAGGTCTGGTCAGGCTCAAGCTGCAAGACCAGCTCCTTGCCAAATACGTCCAACCGGTACTCCCTCATCTCCGCCTCCTTCTCCTTCTCCTCTGCGGAGAGAGTCCGCCACGGTTCAGTTTCGCTCTCCGACCGGGCCGTCGGATCTAGTCTGACCGGCACCACGGTGCTCTCCTCCCAGGCGCTGTGCGCCGTGCCAAGGCACAGAGCGGCAATTACACCAATGGAAACGCAACGTAAAAACAACATAATTTAACTGAAATCCAACAAGTGGAAATAGAAATTGATAATAAAGTCTCTACGAGGAAGCAAGTAAATCCTTTAAAAGGTTTTCCACTATAAGCTACAAACCCCAAGTCTTTGAACTTCCACAAAACTGTCCCCAAAATTACGCACACGCATAAAAACCTAAAAAAGGATCAAATCCAGTGCAAAACTCATTTAAAGTTATTATGTGCAGGTCTGACTTGTAGCAAAAAAAAAAGAAAGTCCTTTCATTAAATGAAAATAAAAGCTGGATGTCGGCAGTAAATTCCAACAGGTCTCTTTCTCTCCAAAACTCAGCAGATGTCTCAGTTTCTAGCTCTCTCTTTGAGTTCGGGGGCAGATTTTTTCCTCTGCTGGCCCGCTTTAGTCTGTTCTCTGCTCTTGCCTTGCAGTCAGAACAGAGCCGGTCCCTCCTATATATCCCCCTGCCTCGGGAACCACCCCTTTCCTGAGGGCCCTTTGATCTGAGAGGGGCCAAATCCCGTGCGCAACGAAAACGCACCAGCGACCTGGAGCGTTGCCATAATAATCAACCATTGTGGAGGAAAGAGAGCTCTGGGCAGAGGAGCGTTTTTCTTCTTCAAACTCTGCTTGTCTGTCACAAGATGTACACTCACAACCCACTAATATTAATACAGAATATATTCTATTATATGTCTCATAGAGCCTAATGTATCATTTCACCCTTACATGTGCCATTAGTGTATACATTTATGACATGAGTGGGCTAAATAAAAACCAAACCTCTCACTCTGGCACAGTTACAGTGCTCTACTTTCTAACTCAATCACCGAGCTGCACAGCGCTTATTGAACTATTCCAACATAAATCAGGGTGACAGGCAGCAGTGGCTGATGTGGAGCAGTGTTGTAGTGTCAGTGCAACTGGAGAAGGGAGATGGCAGCAGGTCGGGAATGGTAACCATACCGTGCTGGCCAAGGCTCCGGGAGCCGTACTAACCTCCCCCCCGTGCCAAGCCGGCTGTGGTGCGCCGTGGCCGGGTTCCGCAGCTCTGCTCCCCGGGGAGAGGGAGCAGAGAGGGGCCGTTGAGGTCTTAAGGTGGAGCGGGTTCTCCACCGGGCTCCCTCCGCGGTGGAATCAAGGCAGGCAGAGCCCCCGTCCTCCGCAATCCTACCCCGCCCGCTCGCGCTGTCCCCCCCCCTTACCCAACAGGCAGGAAGAGTTTACGCTGGAGTTTCATTAAAAATAACTGGCAAAGCAGAAATCCTATTATCATCAGTGCGCCTCATCACAAATGAGTTAACTCTATTCAAAGCAAACAAATGTATTAATTCAGACTGTTCAGGGGAGGTGAACTAACAAAATCCTGTAATTATTTGAAGGACAGCATATATTCTAGACCTGAAACTGCAGAAAATCTCTGAAAATAATGATTCAAAATGTAAGAATACCATATAATAACATAACAGTGACTTCAGATGGAGACTAGAGAGCTTATTGGCACCATTTCCACTGCAGTGTAACTTCTAACTCACTGGAAAAAACCTCACTGATGAGTCTGTGAGGGGGACCGATTATGGAAGTCCACCTTAACAGCACCAGGTCACAAAGAGTGACTCGTTGTAATGTTTGAATCTCCCAGCAGATGGTAGGCGTGCAGTTTAGGAAATCCCCCCGACTGCAGCACAGATTTTCCATGACTAGATCTATCAAGTATGTCTTTAACCGACAGGTGGCGCCTCAGCATCACATTTGGGAGCTTGGGAAGGTGGAAGCTGTGAGCTACTGACCGCAGGGAGGCAGCAGTGATGTACCTGTGGAAGACAGAGCCTCTGCCTGAGGATCCTATCAGAACTGCCGGATTAGGAGATGATAACCAGGTGACATTTGGATGCAGTGGAGCTCTGCAGTTTCCTGACTTTAACCCACACATACATCCTTTCTGCAAGCTTATATTATAGTTTTAATATGTGTAAATAAGTGTCATTATGTCAATAAGCTGAAGACAGTTCAATATATAACTAAATGGATGAACTGTCAAACCACCAAACTCCTTCAGTTGGTTTTTAATTGAGGCTTTTTGGCTGGAATCTTCTTTTTTCCAATCTGAACCTCAGTTAAGTGCCATATTCTTTTTTTAAATCATCAAACTATGACATGAAACTAAAACTACAGAGAAAATGCAATTAAACATCTTGTAACAGAATATTTATCATAAATGTTAAAGTTTATGTCTTTATGTATCTTCTGGCCTGTGGCGGATGATACCAGAGTATTTATTTCATTATGATGATTTATTCTTCTACTTCATCACATTTCATAGAGAAATATTGTACTTCTTACTTTATTACATTTATCTGACAGCTACAGCTGACAGTTACTTTACAAAATATGTTGCATTTTTATAGATCAACCTTCCCAATGATATATACGGTTGTTTAAATGAGAAACTCTTTCACTGGCTACATTAAAATGCAACTTGAATTTTGTATCATCAATAACAATCCCATAATATACTGTACATATAGCACTCTTAAAGGGATGCCATGACGAAATGAACAACACACACACACAGATATTTAAATATATAGATTTTATGTACATATATTCATGTGGATGACTAGAAAAGAAACACTATATTCTTACAAAGGAATGATTCTGCACAGTCATATTCCTAAGTTAAATAGTAATTTGATACAAAATTACTATAATAAATAAAACTCATCTCATTGTTTTTTTATTCACACATACCAGTTGTACAAACAATAAATTACAAGTTCAGTGCTGTGTTTCTGTCGTTCAGCGAGAGGGGTTTCCCCACTGGAAGAGTCAGAGTAGGTTGTGTGTGTGTGTGTGTGTGTGTGTGTGTGAGAGGGTTTCTGAAATAATCAAATACTGTGCGAATGATGGATTGTTTCAATGGTGTCTGTGTGTGTATATTTCTGTGTAAATATGGTTGAATACTAACACATATATGAATGATCTATTCATTGTACAAAAATGTCTACATAATGTAAATAAATGTGAATGTGTGAGGGAAGAAGAGAAGGATATTTGGTGAGTGGTATGTTGACCCGGGTCGTGTAGTCGTTGGTTTTTCTCCCGCACAGACGCCAGATGGGTGAGGCTTGCCACACAGGAACATATAACAGGTGCCAGAAAGTTTAACACAATTACAGGAAGGTATTTTAAAAAGTCCATTAGCTACATAATCAGCATCACTCTGTACCATTCAGGATGGCTGAGGTAATGTTCTACTGGTATCTTGTGATGCACATAGCTTTGTTTGTTCGCTTCAAGGAATCATTTTACATTTTTATTCATTTTCTTGAGAGCCAGATGAGAAGATCGATGCCACACTCATACGTGTCTGTTGAATATGAAGATAGAGGAAGAAGCCTGTTAGCTTAGCATTAAGATTGGAAACGGGGGCAAATTGTCATTTTTATACTTTCTTTTTGTACGGATTAAACAAACGAGACATGATGTGTTCATTAGCGTGATAAAGAGGTGTTGATAGGCGTATTTTTAATCTTTGGACAAAGCCGGGCTAGCTGTTTCCCCTTGCTTCCAGTCTTTATGCTAAGCTATGCTAACTATTTCCTGGGTCTAGCTTCATATTTAAAGGACAGACATGAGAGTGGTATCAATCTTCTCATCTATTTCTCTGCAAGCGAATGAATAAGTGTATTTTCCCAAAATGTCAAACTATATCGTTGAACTTAAAGCAATATCTCTTTGCAGAATCAGTGTCCTCCAGTAGTCATGGGGACTATTTCTTCGGTAGAAAGTAGATCCGAAGAAGTAGCTGACAGTGAGGTCTGTGGATTGTCTGAAGTAACTGAGGCATTGTTTCTGCTCAAATGTGATCACCACGAAAGAAATGTCATTTATCTACACCAGATTGATAACTGACAATAAAAGAAACTATCTGTGTGAGTGGAAACATATTCTCTTTTGTATTTTGGGTGGACCGACCCTTTAAAGTCATCCATCCTGTGGCACAGTCTGAACTGTTGCAATGTGGCAAACACCACCCGTCAGGGCTGGAAACAGGTTCAAACAATCCTTTCTAAATACCGGATTTAAAGTGATAAAACGGAGAATGAGGAATGAAAAGAAAGAGAATGAAGAGTTGAATTGCAAAAGGACATTAATGGCTGCATTAGTATCTCTCTTGCTGTCGTTGCGAGTATCCAGGGCACACATTGTCATATTAGCATTTCCTCTTAAACAGATAAACAGGACAAACAAACAGATATTGACCAGAACAAAAAAAACAAATGAGGACCGTAAACCTCCCAGCACCAACTTAATGATTGATACAAATGGAACTGAGAGTGAAGAAGCAGTACATCTTCCTGGTACATACTGCATGAGTTTAAGACACAGGCCTGGGTACATGAATGTGCTAACACACACAAACACACACACACACACACACTCACACACTCACACATCAAGCACTGCCCCAAACCTGTGAGTCATCATTAACCTCCATAAATGTTAAGGAGTGTCGTGGTTATTTTGCCCCTTTGTCGATTTAACTGTCGAAAAGTTTGTCCTCTGAAGGCCACCGTACGCTCCCTTCCCATCGCACCATGCTGCTGTTTTTGACGCTGTGCAGGTGATTATCAGTTTCAGTACAACCAATGTTTTGTCACCTGGACGGATTTTCTTCACAGAAAAGTATGTGAACAGGTTAAGACCGGGTACGAGCGATTGGTGAGCCCCGCGGTACGACCGTGCTGTCTGGGTTCACCCGTTCACTGTCGATCGTGAAGTCACCCTCGCATATTCATAAGCTTTCTATTGGATGCTCTCGAGATAACGGTCCGCGCTATGGGAAGTTGATAACATTCAGTCGTCCCCTCTGCTTGTGCTCCTTTCCAGTTTTTAGCCGGACAGATCCGTCCAAAAAAGAAAAGGACGCTTATAGTCGGGGGCATAACGGTAGCCCTGATCCAGGACCATCGGATGTATGAACCTGTTCTGGAACTTGGACATTTCAGTCATCAAGTGGCTCAAAATTCTTCACAGGGAGAACATTGGAAGTCAATCTTCATAGCAGCCTACTGTTTTATTCAGTAATAATGAACACTCAAATGTACCTTTTGGCCGAACGTTGGCTAACGAAATAGGAATCTTTAACTTTACGTGGTTTGTGTTGTTCTTAATGCAAGATACCTTTCTTGGAGGGAGTAAAATTATGTCACTACCATCTAGTGAGTTAGTTTTTTCAAAAGTTTTCCTGTAACAAATTTTACGAGCCGCTTTTAGGTACCGGAATAACCAAGTTCGGAGGAATGGCAATGGTCGTGGGACAGGGCTACGGCGCAGGCAAGAAGTGGCGACACGCTGAATAACGAGTGCTTCCCATCGTTGGGGCTCTTGTCTCGGACACACTCATGACAAACGACGAAGGGGTGCGACTTCCAAATCCCCACAGTGATTAGAACACATGGAAAAGCATTAACAAAAAAACAAAAAACACAACACATGCCATTACAGGGCAACACACAGTAAGCCTTCGGGGTTTGGAGACCGAAGTGAAGACAATCAGTTACTGTCCATGTGGAAATGACATGCAATTTAAGTCCTCAGCTATGCCAGGGTCATACTTGTCATTATCATACGGAAACTGTCCTCCGTGCCAGCTCTGCATAGCTACTGTGATCCCAGGACATTCCTCTGGCGTATAGTCAGGTACATCCATGCCAATCTGTCTCTGAGTCTCTGTGTATCTGGTCCAGGCGCTTTCAGCCAACATTCACAGTCCTGTTTAGGGTTGTATGTCTTAAAGTCATCGGTCCACAGTCCTACATCCAACACTTGAGACCTTTATCAGACGTACAGATTAAAATTGTTTCTTGTCTTATGAATCATTTCTGCTCAACATTTCTTCACCAGACAGTGTTTGAAGGCAGAGGGGCGGGAACCTAGCGAGCAGCCTTTGGACAGTTTACCATCCCGGTCCTTACACTGCACTGTCCGGCTCTGCCAGCCAGTGTCACAAGTCCTGGAGCAGATCATCCAGGTCCCTGTTACCCACTGGGGCCCTGGGGTTGAGGTGGAGGGACCTGGAGCTGTAGGTGGCCCTGGAACCAGGACAGAAGGAGTGGAGGAAGATGTAGTGGTGCTACTGGTGGTGGTGGTGGTGGTGGTGGTGGAGACTGTCGTAGTGCTCTGCGCGGAGGTTGACTTCGGCTTGGGGATGAGCGGAGCTGACGGCTGCTGTGGGGCCGTCCGGCGGGGCATGAAGAAGCTATAACGAACATCCAGAGCCTTTTTAACATCTGTCGCAAGAATCTGGATCACCAAGGCCTCTTGGAGGGCCCCGGGACCCATGCTGTGAAGCCACTCGTCCCTTTGGCTCCAGCCGCTGTAGTTAAGCACAGAGCCGTTGAGTGGGATGATTGTCTCTGAGGTGGAGATCATGAACTTGCCGTTCAGGAGGTAATCGCCGCTGGGCCGTCGGAGGGCCAGGTAGGCGGTGTAGCGGGTCTGGTCTTTAGCCTTGTGCTGACGAACCTTGATGTGGGTGGAGCCTGCAGGGATCTTCACCACGTCAGTGTAGCCCTTACTATTTGTGAAGAGAAAGTAGAAGAGAGGTCAGATCAGGTCGGAGAGATGTTAGCTTGTTACAGTGAGGAAGCAAAGGCACTGCGAACAATATACATATGAATGTTTAGGATTAGTGTGCGTGGGTTGCATTTAAACAATATACCTGTTAGTTCTTATTTGTTTAAACTGGATTTTTTGCCACGCTAACAACAGCTAATTTCATATCTATGTTTAGTCAGCATGACCATAAGGCCTGTTTTCTCACCTCTTTTTGGTGAAGTTGCCCACAACGCGTATACATCCTGTGCTGTCGCCTCCACATATACCACACTTGTCGAACTGGAGCTTGGAGCCGATGATGCCGTCGCAGCCCGTCCGTACACATTTCCCTTTCACGCACACCGAGCTGCTGTACGGACGACACTCTGTCCCGTCTACCACCTGAAGACAAACACAAAATCACCGTCAACCTCCACATTTATTTTCTCATTAAATACACTGCAGCCTTTTTTTTCTCTAACTAACTCACCCTCTGAGAGAACACCACATAGTATCCTGTTCCTTTTGCTCTGCAGGTCAACTTGCACACATCTTTAGGGAGGACTCCTGCGTACTTAGGCACCCACTCAACAAAGGTCTTCACCCCTTTAGGATCTGTCTGAGGACCGTTGCGGGCTTCACATTGCTCCTGCCGGAAACCCTTGTCTGGAGAAAGGTTCCAATAAAAGAGGTTTTAAAATGATACATTCTGCATGATAAATAAACAAACAACATGTGTGCATTCTCAGTCACACTCACTTGATGCTGGACATGGTGTGACGTTGCAGGACCGATAGATGGCCCTCTTCCCCGTGCAGTAGCGCCCGTTGTTCCGTGGCGGCGGGTTGTTGCACAGACGCTGGGCGAACTGCACGCCGCCTCCGCAAGTTCTGGAGCACGCACCCCAAGGGCCCCAGGAGCTCCAGCTGCCGTGGTTGGACGCCTGGGAGAGGGAGGAGAGGAGGGAAGAGGAGAGGGAAGATGAAAGAGGAGATATGAGTTTAGGGAAAATGACAGCGGAGGAGAGATCAGAGAGTAGAGACGGATGAAGAGAGGGGAAAAAAAGAGGAGATGAGAGAGGACAATTAGTGCTTATCAGATATGTTGGGAGCCGGAGTGCGGGCCAAGCCACGTGTCACAGGGAAAGCCCTTCGGAGAGATTTGTGATAGAGAAAATGTGGCATGCATTGTGGTGTGGAAAAGAGAAGAACGAGGCTATCCTCATGTGGTGAAGCCGCTCATTAAGACAGCGTGACTGGATCCGTGGCATAACAGCTCACATGCTTCCCCCGAGGATCGGCCTGAATGAAATTCTTAAGGTAATATACTTATTTTTGTGTTTTTCCAACCAGCGCTATATGAGTCATCAGCGAAAAAAATGACCGGATAAGTAGCATTTAACATTTTACGAGACAACGTTGATTTAATAACCCTGAAGTTCTGCAAAGCGCCTTTGGAAACAGCTTTTTTCCATTCAGCTCCACTGCCTGAGTCTTACTCGAACCACTTCTTTCCACAGTAAAAGCTACTTAATCTGCAATCATACTGCAAGAAATATTTAGAGGTTAAAAGATTCTGAAGTCTAAAATGGAAGAGCTCAACGTCGCCCTGAACAGTAAACTGGTCGTCATACAAGGCGGCGAAAATGAAGCGTGTAAGAACTTGGGCCGTGTCCACGCATACGGTCGCCTGCCAAGGATCGACTCAGTCCCATCAAATGTCATGTGACAAATAAAGGCAAGGAAAATACTCTTTCCCTCATTCCCATTCTTTTGGACTTTCGCTCTCTTTTCCTCCCTGACACACACACACACACACACACACACACACACACACACACACACACACACACACACACACACACACAGACTGTCGACAGCGTGCCAAGAACAGATTTGGTCCTTTAACTCATCATGGCTAAATTCAATTTAGATCTGTTTAAGTGAGGCCAAGAGAACAAATAGCACAGATCAGCAGAGGCATAAATAAAGCAGACCACACAATGAAGTCACATAAAGAATCTGACAATTTTTCTTTCTACTTCATTCTTTTCTTCCCTCACAGCTGCCCTGTCTTTCTCCTTTGTCTGTTTGCACAACGTGGTGCTTAAAATATCAGTTTTTGAACTATAAAAAGGAATCTATTTTAGATTTGAGCTGACAAACACCTTCTATCTCCACGTTCCAATCCTCCCTCACATTCTGATACCACCCACCCGTCTTACCGAGTAGTGTCTCTTGCGGGTCTTGTCCACGCACTTCCCCTGCAGGCAGATGCGTCCCTTCCCGCAGGGAGTCCCCTCCACCGCCGGCAGCTTCTTGGTCAGACACACCATCTGTCCCTGGCGAATCACGGCGCACCACAGCCGAGAACACACGTCCATGCCCGGGCAGACTGTGTACTCGGGGCCGAAGGCGAGGCGACACTGGCGGACGGCGTCGTAGCTCTGCCCCGGGAGCTCCTCTGGGCCCAACAGGGGCTGGCGGGGCGAGTCTAGGAGACACTCGGCTGTTTGCAGGAAACAAGAAGGAGGGGATTTTAAAAAAGGAGCTGCAACCTATTCTAAATTCTCTAGTTTGGCCTGTGTGAGCTGTCACTCAGTAAAAGTGCTGGAGCAGAAGCAGATACTGTCAGTCTCAAAAGGATGCTGTTGCTACATGAACTGCGCCGAAAGCGTTAGTGTGTCATGAATGAAACTGCTTTATGAACGCAAAGTGTGACTCATCTTGATTTCCTGCCAGTGATCTGTCTTTGGCTGCACTGCAACTAGACTTTTTAAGAAGTTAATAGGATTGTAAATAACTCTGCTAACAGAGATTGCAGCTTTGTTTCTTAGTAAGCAGCTCTCCATGATAGGTGCTGTGGGAGAAAAGTCTAATTCACATGGATGCAATTTGTAGATGGAGAAAATACAACTTCTGCTGGCTGGGAAAAGCTCTCACTAGTAAAAAGAGCTGCAGATTGTTAGCTCAACCACAAGCACCGGCCTTTATTGCTCTGCACTTTCTCCCACGCTCACCGTTGCCGTCGTCAAAGAAGTCAGTGATGGTGGCCGAGGTGCAGCGGCTCCAGGGCTTGGAGGCGTCGATGGAGGTGAGGATGGAGGACATGAGCCGCTTGTCGCTGTTCACCCCGAACCGCTCCTCGCAGAACTTGGAGTCGTCGTGGGACAAACCGAGCAGGTGACCTGTGGCACGGAGAGAAAGGACGCCGTGTACAGAATGTGAGCTGATGCATGGGAGAAGTGATGAGACGTGTCGCAGGTTCGCACACGCAGCAAAAATTAGATAAGGAAACACGCCGGGCGCTCGGGTATCAGGTGTATGACATCAGGGAATACTCCTGTGATATTAATCAACAAGGGAGATGTGCTGACAGATGTGCATATGCATGCCCCGGCGTGTTTCTATCTTTGTTTGCATGCTGGTGAGTGTGTATCCATGCCTACCTATCTCATGCGCGACAGTAAACGCTGCGTGAAGGCCGTCGTCCTCGATGACGGCGCAGCTTCTCTCCGGGGAGCAGATGGTGCCAACGTCCGCCATGCCCAGGGTGTCGCAGGAGTGGTGGCCGCAGAGGTCCTGGACCAGGGAAAAATGTAATGAAGTATTTAGTAGTAGTTTAAATTACAGTTTCCAACAATAAGTGGAAGGTATATTTCAATAGTTTTGTGATTATATTGATACCTGAGGAACAGTCAGCCTTATTTCCAGATAATCTCTCTCAGAACAGCTTAAATGTAATGTGAAACCTTTCCAAAAAATTATTTTAAGACACTAACTGAAACTCATTTTACTGAGGGCATACCAACAAAAACACAAGACATTGTCAATCATCGTCTTGGGCTGCTGTGTCTTAACTAAAGATACTATGAACCATCCCCCTTTCCTCAGGCATTGGTGGACCTTCCAGCTATCATGTTCATCTTGCTACATTCTTTTTTAATGAAGACCAAACATGTGTTCCTAATGGTTTCTTTGAAGATACTTATATAGAGTGCAGTGACTGGTCCACTGTTACTGTCAAGAGCCAGACTTCTCCTTCTGTACCTTTTTAGTCAGTGCCACTGGGTGGTGATGCAGTAGAAGCTGGATTTCAACTTGCTATACAATATTGCAAACACAAAAAAAATAAATAAATCTGTAAAGATGCTGAAGTAGCGTCAAATTCCAGCCATTGTGTCGAGGCTGAATTCCCGGCGTCATGTTCTTCTTGGTGCTTTGGTTCTCTTGATCAAGCCTCTACCTCCTAATGAAGTTGGAAAGGATTGTGAGAGAGTTTTTAAAACGAACAAAGGACAAAATCGATGCAGCAGAGCCTCCACGCTCCAAAAACACTGGATGCTACACCTCCCATAATGCCCTGCTTTAGAGCCTCTCTGGCTCTCAAACACAGAAACACAAAAATCCAACCTGAGATATTCAAATGAAGAGAGTACATTTCTCCACCAGAGCTACAGAAGATAAGTAGTGCTTCCTGTGTCTAGAAGTTTTGACATGTGAAATTAGTGTCACTGCTTTTAGGACCCGCTTCCTTCCTCTGCTTCCACTGTCTCTCTGTCTGCCTCATGGGGTGCCAGAGTGCATGGTATTGATCTTTGTTTTGATTCCCACACATGTCCATGCAGATGAGGCCTCAGGGAGCACTGGCTGGTCCGCTGAGTGCAGAGATCAATCAGTTAATCATACCGTCACATCAGAGCGCGCACGCCTGCACATGGGCCTGCGTGCGTGTGCGTACACACTCACACCGCTGCAAACACGCTTAAAATGTTTATTCACCGCACATAGACGTATGGAGACAAATAATACATGGATGTGCACACGAGAACATCCAAAAAAGGACAACACACACACACACACACACACACACACACACCGTCCCGTGGAGAGGATGAATCGTCATGTTAAGTGGTGCTGACAGGCCTGCTGGGTCGTGTGTGAGAGGCTCTATGGGGAGGGTGTTTACCCGTTCCGGGCAGATCGGTTTGGAACAAACTGCCTTGTGTTCTGCGCTCACACACATGATTGACTGGGTGGGACCGCCTCACACACACTTGCATACACTTATGCAAGTACACTCACGCGCATAACTTTTAGCACATACATGCAGACGAATACTTGCACATATAAATGCAAGCATGTAGACTGTACATTCCCTCATGGCACACTCACAAGCTACAGCACACAAATACAGAGAACAGGAAGAGGGTGCCTGCTTTTGCCAGTTGACTGCTGGATACACAAGAAGCAAAGAAAAGGCGAGTGCAACATGCTCACTGCATGGATGCTGCTGAGCGCCAAACTCTACTGAAGTTTCACTTTTCCATGTGCAGACAAGCTCAAAAGCTAGTTTGTTGGAGACGTTTGTCTTCATATTCTGTCTGTTTCTCTTTTCCCCTTTCCCACACTCTTTCACCCCGTCGCTCTTTACACCTCCCTCCATTTAATTTCTTTATTCACCGCCCCCCTTCTGGTGCTAGAGCCGTTTCTGTTTCAATCTTGTACACATGGATTTCGCTGGTACAACGCAGTGTAACAGGAAACGTGGGTGAAAAAAAATGGGAATCTCCAGTTACCAATCAAAGGATGACGTGCACCTGAAATGACCCCAAAAACCTGCACCACTATCTACTGTACCTATTATTTACTTCTTCTCTCTTCCCAACTTTGTTTTCTCCCCAAAGCCTCTCACATAAGCATAAAGAGGGAGGGAAAGATAAATAAGCTGAGGGATCAGATGCTGGGGGGAGAAAGGATGGAGGGCTGCGGAAATTAAAGAGAAGAACTGAGAGAACAGGCAGCTACAGAAATATTGGCAGAAATAACAGGAGAACAGGTGGCAAGCTGGTTGTGAAGGTCAGTAGACGATGAGAGTTGTGTGTGTTACAAGACCACTTGCAATCTAAGCCAAGGCTTGTGTTAAACAAACAGCCAGCCAGACCCAGACACAGACACGCACACACACACACACACACACACACACACACACACACACACTAAAATCCCTCTTGTGCAGTGAGTTCAGAATGAGTTTAACTCACTCTGTGATAAAAACACACTTCAGGCTGATTCAACTAACCCGCTAATCAAAAGCAACAAAAAGCAGCTATCCGTCACTGACTGGACAGGCTACAAATTAGTGGTCACCAGGGATTGACAGGTTGTCAAATCATTTTATTTTCAAGCTACTTTATGCTGACACTCTATTTCGGCGGGAAACGTATTTTAGCTGCAGAGCTCTAGAGATTCCAATGTCGGCTGTTGGACCGCCACTTTGGCCCCCCTCGGATGACTTGTAGTAACTTTGGTGATTCTTTAACTTTCTTATAAAATGTACTGTAAAACTATTGACATTATAATCAGCTTCAACACTACTTTGTTTACTACTAATTAGCAAATGTTAGCATGCTAACCCACTATACTAAGATGGTGAACAGCATGTTAGCAGTGTTGTTGTGAACATGTTTAGTAGTAGAATTGTTAATCTTACAGCTATAGTTAGCAGTTACAGATTTACTTTCTATCGACATTAATGGATACATTATTGAAAACAGCTGTATGTCTGTCTAGACTAACAAGCAACAATTCAGGGCATTCAAATGTAGGGAAGTTGTTACACATCAGACAATGGACTTTGTGGGAAGATATGTGGTTCCAGTGCAGATCCCTGTGGAACACCGTATGTAACTTTAGGAGCATGCAACACAAAACTTTGTGTTCTGCCATTCCGATATGAGCAGAACCCGCTAAGCGCCAGCCCCTTGACACCCGTAATGTTCTTAAGATGCTCCACGAGGATGCCACGGTCCACAGTGACAAAGGTTGCACTCAGATCTAGTAACAAGACACATGTGAGAGTTCAGAATAACACAAGGCTTATTCCCGATAAAGTGATGATCAAGTAGAAATGAAATCACTTACTAAGAAAATAAAAGTATGACTAGCTGAACTGAATAAATGGTGTTATTTTTCTTTGCATGGAAACAGGAAGCAGCCTAAGGTCAGTGTTCAAAGGAAACTTCAGACCATGACTGAAAACAGGAGTGCAATTGAAAGTCACTGACGCATCACAGTGTGAAGAAGGTGAGGCTCATGTGCTGTTGTTGTTGTCGGGCAGACTGAACTCTCTGTCCAGTTGTGTATGTAGGCAGCCTCGGGGCCTGGGGTCGAGGGTTTGGGATCTAAGAGCTGTCTGCAGGTTGTCAACATATGCCAGTCGAAGTATAGCATGTGTGAAATATCAGGAACAGTTAAAACAAATAGAGGGACTAGCTGTGACGGGGGCGAGGGCTGGGAAATGTACACTTTAACGTACAGACACACACATATAAATACATGGAGGAGAGGAGAGGAGAGGAAGACAAGTGCACAGGAAAAGGAGGAGTCCAAACTTTACACATGTGCACATTCCCACTTTCACTGTAAATGGCTCAATGACATAACTATGGATTTAACACACGTGTGCAGGAAATGGACTGTGTCTAGATACATGCTGTGTCTACATCAGTGTGTATCTTACATCAATCATCATTACATAAGGGACTTCTCGATGTTCCTGAAAACTATTTACACACTGAAACTGCATTTCATCAGCAAATAAGACTCAGGATTTGTTGAAATGTCTGGTATTTGGGCCAATTATAAGGCTTAAAGGTAGTATAATCACCTGAAAATAATAGTGGTCATGTTTTGTGACTTTAGACTGAGACGTTGTTATGCTGTGGGTCGCTATGTTGAACTGCTATGTTTCTACAGTAGCTCAGAACAGACAAACCAAAGCCTGGCTCTAGATAGGGCAGTTTGCTTCTTTTTTTTTGCGTGTTTCAGAGCCACCGTAGCTTTTACCTCCCACTTGGACAGAGAGGGTCAAATAAGTGAGTTGCGATCTGCAACTACACTGCCAGATGCCACTGAATCCTCCACACTTAATGCTACTTATTCATTTTGGTAAAAATAACAAAACAAGTACCTGCTAGCAATGTCTATCCAAAGATTTGAGCTATTGCTGCAAAAAACTAAAAAAGAAATGCATGAACACACATGTACGTCAACATCTTCCCAGCTCTGCAGCTCCCTCCGGGCCACCTTACAGTAGGGCTTTGTCTACTGTCCAATCTCACACACAACAAGGGAACACAGCCATGCATAACACTTAACGTTCCCATATACACGAATACACCCTCAGAATAGCCCCGAGTCCCCTCAATGTGCCCGTTGTTTAGTTCTGGTGCTGGTATGTGTGGAACAGGGTGACACCGCCACACGGGTCAGCTCACTGCGGGGACGGGGTGTTGGAGTAATTGGACCTGACCACAAAGGGACAAGTTCCCTCAAACCCTGTGCACTCCTGCTGCTGCCCCCCCTCCCATCAGGGAACAATGGATTGGTCTGACTTCACAGTCACAAAGTCTTCAGTGAGCTTCAGTTTAGCGGGCTACAATACTCAGGCCTTCGTAACACACAAACAAAAAAGGTTATATCTTTTCACACACAAGCTTCTATTTGGTTACTTGACACCTCTGACATTCAGTACAATGGAGCACATAGCAGACTATTTCCTATAACACATCTGAAGGAAATCAACAGCATATCCGTGTTTGTCTTTTCCTGCTAACTTTCCTCTGGGATTACAACCAAAGTTATTTTCCCGAGAAAGTCCTGAGAAAATAGCTAAAACATTGCCTGCTGTGCCTCGTGTGTCCAACTTCTTTTCTAATTTTTCAACGCAGAATGCAGCAAGGTACGAGGCACCTGAGCCAAAAGTGCTTATCTCCTGACTGGCATTCTGTCAGTGGAAACTCTAATGGCCATATCCCCCAAAATGAAAGTGTGGCTCTCATAAAGAGGAGGTCAAAATGAGCTTACTTTTTTTCTCAAGATGTCACATTTTGCCCTTTGTCACACCTTAGCTGCAGTAAAAGTGGATGCACGTAAATTCCTCAGGTCTCGCACAGGAACATTTCAGAGTTGTTTTCCTACAGTGTTTGGATGTAAACAAACCTCAGGCCTGCTCGTCTGTCTGTGATAGTGATCGACAAGGTGAAATTACAGCAATTTAAGCACTTAGCCAAAACACAGACTCCTGAAAATGACTTTAAATAGCCAAAGAGATCAAAGGTCAAAGTTAAAGTAAGGCGGTGGCTGCTTTCTTTGGCATATTAAGGTCACGACCCCGAAGTCAAGTCATGCATTCGCGATATGCTTATTCTGCGTGGTGAAAGGATTTCCGCTCACTCGTCCTGCAGAGGTGTTACGGCCGGTCCTAGCAGAGGATTATACAACAGAGCGGGGTCGCCTGCTTCTGCTGCAGACAGGTAGGTGAAGGTGAGACGTGTGTGAATGAAGGCCAGGAGACAGGTTTATGAATAATGCAAGTGCTGCGACAGGTGAGACAGAAATGAAGTGCTCACTATAAATGCCAATATGAGGCTGATATTGGCTGTCTGCAAAAGCTGTATTTTTCTTTGCACTGTATATTCATTTCACATATCATTTGTTGTTTTCTAACTTACTTTAATTTGTCATCTTAATGACGATTTATATCCTGTGTCTACATACAGTTTCAGGGGCTTAAACTACTTTGAAGACCCCTCCCAGATATGTATTAAGACATATATACAATTTTCCACTTCTAGCAGATGAATGTGAAAACATCCTTCTAGTGTCAAACTCTGCACATACATCATTGTGTACAGTGAAGATCAAACATCCAGCTGTAGGAACAAGAGGAACAACAGATTTTGACTGAAGGGGGGCTTTAAAGTTTTGGTACATGTGAAAGAGGTCTAATATAATGATATCAGTCGGAGATATTGTCTGAAACATGGACTTCTTGGAGAAGAAAAGGCATTTTAAATCAGTGGAAACATACCAAGAGTGGATGGGTTTTGCCAGGATGAGCATGGGTATTTTAATAGGATCAAAGGCCAAGCAGAATGGAGAAGAATCCACTGTAAACCACCTGTCATGTTTCATTAGTTTACTGACTCTCTGCCTTCCTGTCCCGAGGCTGCCTTAGAGGCATCTGGATAACTGTTTCTATGCCCGCCTGACCCAGCCTGCCCTGCCAAAACCCAACCACCGGAGGATGGCACCGTCTTCTGCCTGGCCTCTTCCAGTCATACCCTACAGGTGTAGAGGCAACAGGGTCAGTAAGATGCCTGGCACACGGGAACTGTGCCACTTTGCCAGCTCGCTGACCTCAGGTATGCGCTACCGCAGTCTTGCCAATGCATGACGGCGCCAACTTCGAAGCCGTTGCCAGGAGATCCGAGGTAATACCCCCCCCACGCTCGCTTTTCCCGTCCAAGCCTCGACAAGACCCTGCATGAGCACCGCAATCCAAGGCGAGCTCTATCTGACACGCCAAGTGGAGCTAACCACCATGAAGCCACACCCGGAGAGGTGAAAAATGCTTGTAGATCTGCTGCTGCCCTGCGGCTTCCGACCGGGGCGGGGAGAGGGAGGGAGGGAGGAGAGAGAAAGGGATGGTGAGAGGAGGGATAAATGAGTGTGGTCTCGGTAAACGTACGGCTCCTCACAGGGTGGATGTGTTTGTTTTTCTGACAGCTCCCAGCCCCAGCTGACAGAGCTGGAAAAGTAACTGGGAAAAAATGTGACTGGAGTGATGAGAGAGAGAGAGAGAGAGAGAGAGAGAGAGAGAGAGAGGGGAAGGGAGGAATTGCATGGCTGGGATGACTACCTAATTAACTGCAGTTTCAAGGGAGTTTTAGGGATATTTCTGCACTGCACCCAGCAGCTGATTTCAAACATACCCTGGGAAGAATTTGTGCGTGCACGGGGCCGGGCGGGTGCGCGCCTCACATCACACAGACTCTGAGGCTTTTTTGGGCTGTCAGGGGACTGGGAGGGGGGCAGGAGACAGAATAGAAAAACACCAGCCGCAGGAAATACAGTTTTTACAGCCACTGCACGCCAGATCCAGCAAAAAGGGAAACAGAAGGATAAAGGCAGCATATACATCAGGGTTGGATTTAAGCAGGGAGATGTGGGAAGCAGCTTTAATCTCTGATTCACAACACCCCCACTGTATGTGTCACTTATCTGAGACAAACAACGCGCAATTAGACTGTTAGAAACTATATATATAACTATATATATATATATATATATATATATATATATATAAAAAAAAAAAAAGGTGTTGTGTGTCAGTTATTTTTATTACAGGGTGTGTTTTTGGAGTTTATAGGTTATTTGCAATAAGCCACCCAAGTCTTAATCTGCCAGCTGCCACCGCGTGCACACTCAAAACAAAAACAAACCGTGGCGTCACTCCGCTGCCTTGGCATCACACCGGGGAGCTAAAGCCGCCTCTCCTCCGCCGCGTGGGGCGGGAGACCGGGCGGGAGGAGAGGACAGGTGGAGGTACGGAGGAACACAGAGAGAGAGAGAGGGGGGGGTTTGTTTACCTGCCTGGTGAAGAGGATGGCGGCGTCGTGGTGGTGCTGGTGGTCGTCGTCCAGCGGGTTCTGCTGGTTCTGCCACTTGCAGAAGCTCTTCAGCGTCGCCGCCGCGTTCTTGGTCACCTCGAGCCCTTTCTCCCTCTCGCCGAGCGTGGTCACCCTCACCACCGACAGCCGGATGGGGTTCTCGATGCTCGCGTGCCCGTACAGCTTGGAGGCGACGGAGGCCAGTGTGAGCAGGTAGTGGTTCAAGTCCTTGCCGTATTTCTTGCTCATGGTGTCGTCGGCCACCAGGAGCAGCTCCACATGCCGGGCGCGAGAGACAGACCTCTTGCGCCGCGCGCCGGGCTCCGGAGCAGCCGCTCTCGAGAGCTGGCTCCACCATCTCCGCCCGCGCGCGCCGTGCTCACCTGTGTCCCGTCTACCTTTCCCGCGACCTCTGTGCCGGCGTTTCCGCGCCGCATCCCTGCGTCCTCTGCGCCCGTCGCGCGTCCCGCAGCTCTCGTGCCCCTCGCGCATGGCCTCGAAGCTGAAACTCTCGCGCGTGAACACGTGGAGCGCGCTCTCCGCGTCCTTGTCCTGCAGGGCGCGCACGTCGTGTTCGTGTCCCTTCGCCCTAATGATAGGCGTGATGGTGTAGCGCGCGTGGCTCACGGCGAAGAAGCCCTCGAGACCCCCTCCGCAGAGGTTGAAGACGGCCAGGGACTCCGGGTTGGAGTCCACAGTCCCGCGGTACACGCATTCCCGATGCAAAGGCGCGGGACTGTCCCCCATCATAGCGAGCACATACTGGGGGCTGAAGTGATGCGACAGCACGGTCTCGTCCCGCTCCATGTCCAGTTGAAACCGGCTCCCATCCAGGTACACCAGGTAGCCCACCTTCCCTCCTCCGTGGTAAATCCGGTCAATGGTCCGCACGACCCCGTCTGTCCTCCGGGCAGGTGCGAGAAGCGACCCGTTCGCAGGTGGAAGATAGAAACCCTGGAAAGTGGAGAGCCCGGCTCCCAGCTCCAACTCCACGACGCACAGCAACAGTAGCCGAAACCACAGCATGCCCTCAGCCAGAGCACCAAGGAGCCGCACCATTGTTCATTCCAGCCCGAAAAACATCTATGTATCCACTAAAACAACCCCGGGGTGGCCGAAGAGACAACTTTGAGTGTTTGTTCCTGCCAAAAGCGCATCCTCCCGGTGTCCAAATCCCCCATGAAAACACACACACAGGAGTAACCAACAGGCGAGCAAACAAAAACCATTGAGGGAGAAACAAAAAATGGGAAAAGAAAAAGAGCTGCAGAGGAACTGTGTGCAGGCAGGAGGGCACTGAGCTGAACTTGGAGAACAAAAACACAAAGTTTGCTCTTAATAGGACCCGGAGAGAAAAAGTCCTGCCCCCTTTGCTCAATCACCACTCCTCCACCACCCCCTCTCTCTCTTCTCTCTCCCTCTCTCTCTCTCTCCCTCAAATCAGAGTAAAGTCAAGTGCTGGAGGAGAGGAGAGGGAGAGGAGAGAAGAGAACCTGAACAATGCTGTTCACTGGAGGCTCAGTGAAAGGCAGAGCCGAGCAGGAGGTCAGGAGTCACTCCTGGTTGGGAATAAATCAGAGGATCTGCCTCATGATGAGTGACAGTTTTTATGTTTTCAGCAGGTTCAGGATGTCAACATCACTAACCAGCAACAGCCAGGACCACGGCCACTCGTCTCAACTCCAAAACCATTAAACACCAGCCTGTTATTTTTACACTTTTACCACTTTGACTCCTTTAATAATTGAAGGCTAAAAGTCTAACAGGGATTGACTGGAGAGTTTGGGCAAACTAGAGGGGGAATAGATAATTTATAGCAGTTCCCGAATAAGAGTTCTGGGAGTTTGCTGCTCCCGTGTGAGACGTTTAATGGTTGGTGTGTGTGTGTGTGTGTGTGTGTGTGTGTGTGTGTGTGTGTGTGTGTGTGTGTGTGTGTGTGTGTGTGAGAGAGAGAGAGAGAAAGAGAGCAGGGGAAGGAGATGGAGGAAAATCTGTGAGCATGCATACAGTAGGTGCACTTGGGTGTGTGAAAGCGAAGAAAAAGAAGTGTGTGTGTGTGTGTGTGTGTGTGTGTGAGTCTGCAGGTGTGTGACTGGGCCTGGAACTGCCCTGGGACCTGTCTTGGTTATTTATTGTACCTTTAGGGGAAGTGTGTGTGGTGTTGCCAATGGGATGTCATACTTGTGCGCTGAGAGGGATTTAGCCATGCATACCTCACTGGAGCTGAAGTCACTGTGTCTCTCTCTCTCTCTCTCTCTCTCTCACTCACACACACACACACACACTCAAGAGGGCAGCCAACAAGAGAGTGGCTTTTCTGAAGTCTTAAGAGGTCCAAGACACTGCTCATTTGCTGAGTCACCTAACAGCTATTACCTTTGCACACTACAGAGTGTGTGTCTGCAGGCCAAGAGGGAGGTCTTTGTACACACACAACCCCCCCCCCCACGCAGAACCTGAGAACAGTATATTACGTTTCAATTTTGCGTCAGAAAAACGGCGAGAGCCCGTGTCGGCTCTCCCAAAGCGCCACGCTAATCCAAAGCCCCCTTCTACGTGACTGAGCGGTGTGGGTAGCGAAGGCCTGGTGCATGCAGGGATGCAGCCAGGGAGTGGGCGTGAGAGAGTGTGGGCTGGCGGCGGAAGCCAGAAAACGGAACACGGTGTGCTGCCACCGTAAGCCTCGCCGCCCCCCCTGTCAAATCCCACCGTGGTACGATCCACACCAAGGATACACAGTTCCTCAACACTCAGAATGTTTGAATCTGACTGCCTTTAGGCCTGCAGAGGGACATTTTGCACTTTCTGTGTCTCGTCAAAATTTTCCTTGGGGGGGGCGGCAGTGTTGCGTGGGGGGGCTTGTTGGTTCTAAAATCTCTGCTACGGCCCTGCTGCCAAATATCGAACATGAGAATACTGTGCCCCTCATCTCCGGCAACTTCAAGACGGTGACCACTGCAGTGGATCCGGTATCGAGCTGAACTTCATGTCCAAATCAACCGTTATGCAATGCGCCTCCCACCCCCACCTCCCTGCCTCTTTTTCCTCTCTGTCCTCGAGTCTCCAGCCACCACCCCCCGCTGCCGCCTGCGTCTCCTTTACACCCAACTGTCAAGTGTATTACCTGCAGTAAAAAAAAAAAAAAGAAAAAAGAACGGCCATAAAGAGAGAGAGGGAACCAGAGCTGTGTGTGTGAGAGAGAGAGAGAGGAATGTTTGATCAGGACAGTGTGATGTCAAGACAGCCCTTCGAGTGTGTGTGTGCGTGTGTGTCTGTCTTTGAAAGTGTTTTTCCTGCTTTTTGCAAGAGTTCCTGACATTATTCAGACACATGAACATGAAGTATGTGAAGTTTATGTACACAAAAAGGATTTTAATACATGTGGTGAAATGTATTGCAGCTGCAAACTAGTGGCACCGAGCCTGAGCAGAACATAGGCAACTTTCCACAGCATCTTTCAGTGCTATACTGACACAACACACACACACAGGCTCATACCCCTACAATGTCCTCCTCTCCCTCCCTCTTCCTCTCTCCCCTTTGAGTCTCACACACTCAGCCCATTGGATCATTTTTAATCCCCATCATCTGAAACAGAGATGTATGCCAAAGCAACCATATGGACATAAACCGCCCCCGTTATCCACACACACACACACACACACACAATTACACAGTAACCCGGATCACACGTGCAAAGCGGGCCGCGTACAATATCGAGCGTCACCACAACAACAAGTTGTGTGCGTGAACCCGCGTGCCGAGCCACGTGTGTGCGAGGGGGGACCAGCCCACTTCCTACGGTGGCTGGGAGGGGAGGGAATCCAATATGGTTAATTGACAAGCCGAGCCTTTTACATAACCGCCAGCCTCTATCTAAGTGGTGGTGTCAGAATTCACCCCCCGCCAGCGCTGCCTGCAACCCTCCCTCCCTCTTTTAGTCTCCATGACTCCATCTCCTCCCCTGCGCACGCACACACACACACCATCCTCCTCTTCCATCCCTTCATGGATGTTAAACCAGTAATTCCCACCAGGATGAAAACGCTTCAGATGAAGGCAATCACAGCGCTTGTTCTTGTGATGGTTGAATGGCTGATGGTGTGTGTGTGTGTGTGTGTGTGTCTGTGTGTGTGTGTGTGCTCCCACTACTCTCTCTCCTCCATCTCTTCTGCCTTTCCTCTCGTTCTCTCTTCCTAGAAGCCAGGTGTGTTCTTAGCATCTGTTACCATGGCGCCGAGGGAGAGCGCAACATCTCCCGTGTGACAGCTAGCCTCAACCACAGGTATACTCTGTTCTGCGGAACAAAAACACACACCTGCACACACACACCTTCTCACTCAACTTCTTTTTGAGAAAAACAACAACACAAATAAACAATGTATATATATATATATTTAAAAATTAGAAAAGAAAAGAATGATACACACACAAAAGCCAATTCTAAAATAAAAAGGCACATCTATACAGCTGTAAACAGATTATAACACACTTGGATCAACTGGAAGTGAATGAAAGCCCGTTATAAAGACACCAGATGGGTTTAAATTAATCTCAGAGGAGCGTTTGAAAGATTTTCAATCAAAAACTCCATCCGGGTTTGGATGACGGTGCAAGGAAAAACAGCAGTTTGAAGTTTGCATTATTAAACACATCACACTCACTCAAGAAATATTCCTTATCCCCCTGGTTCTGGAGTTTTCCCAGCGAAGAGTACATTGTGTCCTAGACTTAAAGTACAGTAGGTTAACGGTGATTGCACAACGTGAACCACACTGAGACTGCGAAGACCTCATGATGAAAAAAGCAAAGTCAGATATTCAAAACACCTTTTTCTCCTATATGAAAAGGAACATTATGAATTTAAATTTTACTGCTAGAGAAAAAGACTAATCTCTAGCTGCCTTTTATTTTGATAAAACAGCAGTGGTCATTTTGACTAGCTTCCTGCATCAGGAGGTCATTGAAGGAAAAAGACAAACGAGATATTTCTATAAAACTGACATGACTCTTCACATTCATGAACTGCATTTTCCTCTGAACAATATAAACATCCCTACAGTGCATAGAGGTAATTTATTCATTTGCTAAGATCTACTGCATGTCACCATTCGCATACTACAGTTAAGAGACGCTGTAATGTCCTCTACAAAGAGAATCACACTGGAGTGGCACCAGTTATTTTGCAGTTATTTTCTTATTTAAAAACGTTCATTTTGTCGACACAGCAGCGACATTGTGATATTGTATTCATACATGCTAATTCGGGTACCATGATTGCATGATTCCCAGCTTGACAGTTACTTTTGGTACAGTGCAAAGACATGCTTGTAATGCCTCTTTTATTTTGCAGCATCTTCACCTTGCGCAGCAACTAAACAAAGAGTCTAAATAACTTTCCTGCCCGCTTTCTGAAAAAAATAAACGTGTAGAATGCATGAAAACAGTTACTGCACATATCAAGCATTAAAGTTGTAAAGTTAAGCTCTTGATATATTGGCAGTAAAAAGTATTTGGCTAACGCAACCTTTGCATTAGAACCCCTTGGTCTGGGTGTTAAGGCATGTTATGAACCATTCGAGCTCCATGATATGGCAATAACCGAGAGCGCAGCACATACAAAAGACAAATCGTATAAAACACATCCGATTCATAGTCATTTCAGATGATAACAGAAATCAGCCGGAAGCTGCAGAAGTAGCAATCTCTCATAGAGAGTTAAGTGGTGGACTAAGTTACTCCTAAGTGCTGGCCCAAAAAAAAAACAAAAAAAATCAACCGAGAACATCATTGTTATCAGAACGGCTGTAAGGGCCGTTATTAAATTGTCCAAAATACAGTGATTCCACTAGTGAATAACAGAAAGGTTTAGGATAAAAGCAGATGATGACAGGAGTGTGCATTGTTTTACAATAACTAACTCTGGCAGCCGGTAACAGGAGGTGGGGCAGGGCTTAAAGGTAAAGTGAGCTGCGTCCCAATTCAGGGACCTGTATCACCTTTATGAATTGATGAGGACTGTCTAAACAATAGACCACTGGAGGATCTTTTGAGTTAAAACAGGCCTCTGTGGTCTGTTACGACATATCTGTGTCTAGAAATGTGGAGTAACGAGGATCCAGCCCCTTATTTGGGATCCAGCAGCGTTAACTCTACCCTCGACCCTCCCCTTCACCACGCCTGATTGGCTGACCAGCATTATATCGTCGCTGACCATTATTAGGCCGTGTGATCCTGGATGACGTTTGTGATCGGCTCCTTTGGCTTCTCAGTCAGGGGCAGTGCAGGGCTGTAGGTGAGCGCCGAGTTGTTGGTGGGGAAGTGGCGGAGGGCCAGTGACGATTTTTTGGCAGGGCTGCACAGAAGCTGGATGCGCTGGGGGGGGGGCAAAAAGTCACAGTTAATTGATTGTTTCAACATCATTACATCCTTGTCACTCTGAACATTTATTCTACCTTCAGTTTTAAAATCATGTTTCTTTATCTGACAAAAAAGAATGGATTTTTTAACCTGTCTGGGTTAATAATATATTATCAGCAGCACAACCTGTGGCAGAGTTCCCGGGGTGGTGACCAGGGCGTAGATGGCCCAGATGGGAAGCAGGGAGACGGAGGAGAGTGTAAGGAGCCAGCCCAGCGTGGTGGCCCAGGCTGGAGCCACCAGGCCTTTCCCCAGGCTCAGTGGAGTCCAGTGCACCAGGGAAAACATAAAGGTAGCCTGCAGGAGACAGACAGGAGGGGGACCGGGTCAGTTCTGTCTTTGCAAATAGGAATCAGTTTGACACAACATGGGCTCAGGTTTTACGCCAGAGAGGTGAAACAATTCAGTATTTCACAATTAAACATGCTTACTCGCTTTCTTCGAGTTATACGAGAAGATCGATATCACTTGGACGGACGCCTGTGTGGTAAATATGAAGCTGAGATAGCAGCCAGTTAGCTTAGCTTAGCACAAAGACTGGAAAAAAGGGGCAAAGATCTAGCCTGGCTCTGTCCTAAGGTAACAAAATCCACCTAGCAGCACCTCTAAAGCTTGCCAATTAACACGTTACACCTTGTTTGTGTAAGTGTAAAAACCTGGTTGCTTGGCAACTGGTCTCGCCCAAGAAATAGTCTGGCACACTTCAGTTTTGGAGGCTAGCCGCAGCCAGGCTAGTTGTTTTTCAGGGTAATAAATCTTCTCACGTAACTCTCTCAAGAAAATAAATAACCGTAGTTCCCAGAATGTTGAACTATTTCTTTAAAGAGACACTTAAACTCTCCTGGACTATTCAAACTTCATAAAGAACACATAAAATAGAAGAGAAGATATGACTGAAACATAAGAATTACATATAACACAACATATTCAATGTATTAGATTCCATGTATGTAATATTACATATAACAACATATATAGATAATAAATAGATAATAAAATAACTTCTGAATAACATTCATATTGTGATGCACTGAAAGGCAGTGAAAATCTATTAGATATCTAAAGATATTATCATTATACTTTTACATTACAACAGAACGCAGGATACATTCTGGTGGGGGGGGGGTGTCAGTACTCTGGATTTGCCTTCCAGATACAGAAGTGCAAACAGTTATGGATTGAGTATGACATAAATATTCAGACACATGGAAAGGCCGCATAGGAGGTTGACCGATTGTCAGGCACGAGTAGGAAGTGGTATGATACCCCAAACATGCGTTTATGAGTATACTATTTCACAGCAAGCAGACACTAAACAGTGTGAAAGCAGGTCAGCTGGGAGGGGGTCACTCACAGTGCATACAGCCGGGGTCAAGTATTTCCAACACAGCTTGAAGACGGGCAGGGGGCTGTAGCCGGTCATATCCCTGATGTTGGCACTGAAGCGCTCGGCTCCTGTGGGCAACAACAACTTCACCATGACTGCTTGTGGTTTGCTTCAACATCACGGTTTAGAACTTGTTGTTTTTGGTGGCGGTGGCTAACTTTGGTTTCTTTTACCAGTATCCACCACCATAGAGGAAGGTAGTAGAAAGAAAGGTCTTCAGAAAGAAAACATGACTTTAATCTGACATTGGTTTGTACTATGTAGCAGCAGGAGGAGCAATGGCAGCAGTAGAGACAAGTAGTAGTGGTTGTAATTGTAACAAGTACAAGCACTGACAGGAGACGATAGTACAGTCCCTCCAGGAAGTTACAAATTCAACCAATCCCCATGAATTCTGCACGAGAATTTACTAAGATAAACTGACTTATATAAAAATCAGTTATATTCCACTTTTCATCGATATGTACTGTATGTACAGTATGTGGACATACGAGTAACAACCCGTCCTGTATGTATTATCTGTGAGTAGGTTTCAACATCTTAATGACTCACTCCTAAAAGTAAAGTAGGTGTCCCTTTTCTAAGACAGCAGTACCTGTGGAGGGAAATTCCTTCAGCCCTACATAACCAGCAGCAGAGGAGTGTCAGCGTATGTTAGAGTCCTTAAAAAACTGTAAAATCCCACAGTCATAAAGAAGGGGGGAAAGGTGCACTGGAGTCCTGACCGCTGTGTTACCTAGTCCACTTTAACCTCCTCTCCTCAACTCTGCTGCCCCACTCACCTACTGCTGGGAGAGCCATAAAAACAGGCTTCCTTCTCATTCATATTTACACACACGCACAGTAACACACACACACACACACACACACACACACACACACACACACACACACACACACACACACACACACACACACACACACACACACACACACACACACACACACACACACACACACGCTGTGCTAATCTACTCGACTTATTGGTTATCACCTGCGATGGCACTACCATTTTTACATTTCTGGTCTTAATTCTTCACCAGATACAAAGTTAACTGTCTAAATGCTCGAGCACTCAGTGTATTGTCCTGAGGAGCGTACATGGCACATTCCACCCATCTCACACTTTAAACAAACAACGGTTTTGTAAATGCTCTAGAGCCCCAGGTCTGGCTGGGATAGGGGCTCCCTGGGGCCACCAGACTGAGACTAAGAGGCGACGGGGGTCCAGGGGCTGATTTAGGGTCTGGAGGAGACAGACAGGGGCCTGGCTAGGAGCCAGTCTCCTTACAACAGTGGGTAGCAGCAGCCATGTTAATATACTGTCTACTGACTCCAACTGGAATTCAGAAGGAGGGGAGGAAGCGGACCAGTTGAGTGTGTTTATCAGATTTTAGGAACTACTTTCATTAGTGGAGTGATACAAAGTGTTTTACTCTTTCCACTGCTGTTTCATTTATTTTTCTATAAATGAAAGGAGAAGAGAGGAGGAAAAGAAATGGGAAAGGAAAAGAGATGAGAGGGGAGGAGAGAAGGAAAGCAAATGTAATGTTAGAAGAGAGGAAATGAGAGGAAAGAGGATGAGATGTTAGAGAGAGGAGAGAAGAAAAAGAGACGGGGCGGGGGGGAATGAAATGAAACAAAAGGAGAGGACAGAGAATATATGAAAGGAGGAAAGGAAAAGGAGAGGAGAGAAGGAAATTAAATGAAATTAAAGGAGAGGGCAGGGCAAAAGGAAATGAAAGGTAAGGTAAGAAGAGGAGAGATGGCGGGGAAGCAAAAGAAAGATAAATGAGAAAAGGAAAGGCAGGCAGGGGAGAGTTGGGATTTGTACCGTAGACCCAGCCGATGGCCAGAGACTGGAAGATGGAGAGGAGCAGCAGGCTGGCTCCGCTGCAGGAGAAGTGGTCGTAGATCTGGAACACATACAGACCACCCTGCGAACGAGAGAAAACTCCATCACCCTTCAACATAAAAAGCAAACAGGGTAAAGATCACGGCCTTGTACACACGCCCATCCACTTACCGGTGTGACCATGACGAGTCCGACCAGGAAGCAGACGACGCAGACGAACAGCAGCAGCAGCTCTCTGCGGTGGCCCCGTCGGATCAGATGAGGGTAAAGGTCACTCACCGACGTCATCAGGGCCTCCAGACTCACAAACTGAGTGACAGAGGGGAGACAGGGTCGAGCGCGTACGCCGTCAGTTTTACTAGTGATACTCCATCAATGCCATCAATAGTAATCCATCATCGGCGTGTGCGGCGTTCTCTACCTGCGTGTCCAGCCCCAGCATGATGATCATGAGGAAGAAGCAGACGGCCCAGAGTTGGGGAAACGGCATCATGGCTACAGCTCTCGGGTAGGCAATGAAGGCGAGGCCAGGCCCTGAGAGGACAAACCACCACAGGAGAAATATGAGGAACAAAGTAAATACAGGTCATTCAAACATAAAGTCTCTCTGCATTATATAAGAATTTAAAAAACACAACAATGAAGCTCGTGTTGGTCTTAAAATTTGTTGAATCAAAAACATGGAGAATCATCAGATTTATCTGTTAAGTGCCTGGTCACATCACAAAGTGGCACAGCGAAATTCATTTGCCTGCCCTCATCAATTACGTGGTGCTAAGCTTTTGGGGGGGGAAGGGGTGATTACTGTTGGTTGTGTCTAGTTGTATTAATAACAAAATGAACATTCAGTAGAAAACTTTACTTGAGTTGCTTTTCCTTCGGCAGGACAGAATTATATAAAACTGGACAAAGCTAATATGTTAGCTTCTCCCATTTTGGATTTGTTCTGATCCCTCGATGCATCAAAACCGTTTGCAATTAGCCAATAGCATAAATTGTGTGTCAAAGTTCACAGAAGTTGACCTAATAAAATGACTTACTAAAATTATTACTACTACTCTAGAACGGGGAGGAGAGCATTAGTTTAGCTGAGTCCTGTGTTTGTAAGTAGCCGTTCAAACAAATCATTTGCATTTAGACATTCGGTAGGCGCTCAGATCTCTGATTGTCTGGTGCGAATATCTGGAGACTAACCTGACTGGGCCACGGTGGCTATGTCCACGCCCTGCTCCTCCGCCATGAAGCCCAGCACAGAGAAGATGGCGAAACCTGCCAGGAAACTGGTGCTGCTGTTCAGGAGGCACAGGAGGAAAGAGTCCCTGGAAAGACACACACACACAACACAATTAATTTAGCATTACAGCGAGACCCAACTTGAAGGAATACATGCAGAATTAGGAGAAACAATTCAAACAATGCGACACAAAAGCCAAAACTAATGAAAGTGGCTTTAGTAAAACTGGCAACGTAACAGAATTCAGTGAGGTCTTGATCTTGGTCTTTGGCCCTGTATTGCAGAGTTCTGGCCAGTTACTGTAAATACAGTCGCCAGGAGTTGGCTGTTTCTGTGTGTGTGGGAGTCCTGGAGTGTGGGAAACATGGCAGCGAGGGCTTTTCTTTAAGGTGTGGCTGTATCAGTGTGTTTTCTCTGTCCATTCCAGCCATTCCTTCTGGAAGCCATCTTACATTTCGGTGACTACGGTTTGTCTGAGGAGTGTAAGGAGGCCCTGTGTGGCCAGAAAGCTGCTGTTTGTATGTTTTGTGTGTTTTGTGTGTCTCACTTATAGCAGTCATTGTTGTATTTGTTGTAACTGCCAAGCGCTGTGAGACTTCCCAAACAGATTCCATATGAGAAAAATATCTGGGTACCTGCATCCATCCATACCTAGAGAGAGAGAGAGAGAGAGGAGAGAGAGAGAGAGAGAGGGAGAGAGAGAGGCAGGGAGAGGGGAGAAAATGAAAATGACATGTTATACAGATGTGATATTCTGTCTTTACCTGATACACACACTCAATCCAGTATAATACAGCCATGGGTTAAAAGATATTTTTGTTCTTTTGTCCTTGTAGCATTGGTTGTATATAATTGCTCCAAATCTAGTACATTTTTATTTTCCTTTACAACTTATCTGACACTTAGTTAAAAGTTAAAAAAAAACTAAAAAAGTTAAAAATAAACTAAAAAAATCCCTTGCAGGCCAAAAGATACAACCAATGTGTGTTTGGTGGTGACATATTAACTGTTCTGTTCCTGTGTGCACATGATATATTAAACATGTCCTTAAACTGCAAAAAAAAAAAAGTGTGCAGACTTATGTAAAGCTTGTGTATAAAGATTCTATTGTTTCTCAGTGTCTAAGCTGCACTGACCTAACAATATGACTTTATGTGTGTATGTTTGGTAGGCACCTGTTTGGTATTTTTTTTTTTTCCTTTTCATTTTTAATTTTAAAGTTAACGATTGGCCATCCTAATGAGACAATGTTGTGTCTTTCATGAACTCCAGTTACTTAAAATAGGACACAAGCTGGTTTTTTTTTGACAAATAATTGCTGAGACCAAACACTTCATTTTAGGAGGATAAACTCTTGCAGCTGCAGATGTAAAACAAAAATATGAAGGAAAAAAAAGTCTACTGGACTGCACATCTCACCTGATGGGGCCCCATACCTGTAGGAGCTGCTGTACCAGGGACTTTTGTAATGTAGTATATCCTACACACATCTCTAGTGTGCGTGTGTGTGCGTGTGTGTCTGTTTGTCTGTTTGCACCTGTGGGTCTGCCAGGCGGGTGTGGTTGGGTTTGAGGTAGTAGATGATGCCCTGGGTCGCTCCAGGCAGGGTGGCACCGCGCACCAGCAGCACAAACAGCATGACATATGGGAAGGTGGCTGTCAGGTACACCACCTAGAATGTACACAGCGCGCGGGGATGTGGTCAGGACGGCATGGAGAGCGAGAAAACAGGAGGGACACGTCTGTCTGTGATGTCCTCAGACAGAGCTGAAATACTGAAAGAGGGAACCCTGGAAAATTGGAGTCTTAAAACCTGTTGACGGATGGTGGCCGTGACACAACAAACAAGACCTCCAAAATGACTGCAGTGCCCAGTCCCTTATTTCATTTGCTAGCCATATAAAAGATTTATGTTCTGTTTCTAACTTTGAGGGTTTTGTTGTCTCTAAAAAAGACTGCTACTGATGTGGCCTGGTTTGTAGAAAATTAAATGATTTCTTGGTATCTAATAGTAAAGCCTCCAAAACGGAATGATTCAGTCAGACGAAGGAAGGAACATGCAGCCCTGTATGCACTCTCTCTTTAATTAATTAAACATACATTCAAAAATAGAAACTGAAAAAAAAAAATTTCCACAGACTTTTCAGGAAGCCATTAACCTTTTTTTTTGAGGAACTCTAGCAACTTTACATTGCATTTCGACCAGAAGAAGAGGAGTTTACATTTAGTTCCGGGACCATGCTTTAAGTAAAGTTCTTGTGTTCCTAAAAAAAATTCCTGGAAAACTTCCTGCTGTGGAAAAATGTGCATTGGGGTCACAAATCAGCATCTGCTCTTCTCAAAAAGCCCTTGAGCAAGACACTGAAATACTACCGGCTTCATTGACAATGCTATTTATCTGACCTTGTGCTCTCTGCTCTGAGAGGAGCCAGGCAAACAAAACGAAGCCTAGAGCCCCCAGTTCTGTCAAACAAGCACCATATTGAATTTGCCGAATTATTAGCAGTTCAGTCCAGCCTTACTACAATAAATAACTTCCAGCAGTCACTTTCAACTGCACCTGCTTCTCACCAACGTTCTTGCTGCCACTACTTGATGTCTGTGAATTGCTCATGTAAGAAACAAATCTATTACCTAGACACTAGACACTCTAGAGCTTCTAATGTCCTCACACATGGACTGCAATGATGTTGGTGTGTTCTGCTCACCTTTCCCGTGGACTTGACTCCCTTCCAGACACAGAAGTAACAGACCAGCCAGACGATGGCCAGACACAGAGCCAGCTTCCAGCTGATGGGGCCCAGCTCGTCTAAACTGCTGGAGAGACGGAGCACCTCTCGCCTAGAACACACACACAGTTGTTAATGTGTGATCAATACAAAACACTCATGGGGGACCAAGAAAGCTACACTCACTCCCAAAACTCCATTACAGGGGAAGTGGCATTCTCAGGCAGGCTGCTCCCATTGGCTGACTGGTTGTGGTGGTCAAACAGGACACACGCCGCTGCAGCAGAACACACACACACACACAAAATAGACCCTAGTTACCCCTTAAAGTTTTACACAGCGGCCTCACAATGCAATGACAGAAGCTTCTAATTTCCTGTCCTTACTGACCAGTGTTCCATGTGTTGTTACAGTGCGACCAGGGCAGCTCTGCCTGGAAGCTGTAGGACAGGTAGAAGAGGGCCCAGGCCAGGATGACGATGTAGTACACGCAGCCGTGCAGGATCATCACCTGACTGGCATAGCCGAGACCTGCAGGGACAGGAGAAGGTGCGGACGGACTGACATTCAGGGTGTGGTGATTTACACAAGCAGGCTATCATTGGCTGATGTGCAGCAGGATTACAGTGTCTCAGTAACACAAACAAATGAGCTTCAAAGCATTCATGCACACACATTCTGTTATCACATCCAAGTCACTTGAGTTTCAGATGAAAGCATCCATTTATTGTGACACTCGACTCGCAGCCCACATCGAGTTTATCTTCATTAAGAATGAATAAGGGTCTTATGAGGCCTTGAGTGGGTTGGAGAGTGTAGGCTGCAGACAAATAGCTGTTTGTGGTGTCCTCTAATGAAATTCAGTCCTTTCTGATGATGGCATATTAAATGTGCAAACCAGTGAGGAATTCCTTACAGAAGCATTTCTTTGTTAGGGTGAGTTTGACTGTATACAAGCACATGTGCCCTAGGAAATGCTGCGTATTCTCTGCCACAGCACAGTTAGACCCCGTGCTCAACACATGGCCTTCACACGGCAAGCTGTCAGCAAAATACTGGTGACCCTGTGAGGAGCATGAGGAAATGTGTGTGTGCATCTGCAGGCCATATGGACCAAGGGGCAGAACAGCACATGCTGGCACACTCATAAATATTTGTCATTGAGCAGAGTAAAAAAAAGAAAAGAAAAAAGAAAAGCAATATGGCGCAGCGCTCACACACATTCTGTTTACAGTGCGTCTCCCAGGTGGTCCAGATAGCATGCTACTGGCCTTAACTACACCTGCACATGAGAATGTAAAGACCTGCTTTACAAAAGTGAGCTTAAGTGGAACATTTTGTCTCTATAACCTCTTTGAGCCTCCTGAGTAGCTCAACCTTGGCCGAGAGGCAAAAAGGAGTTCTGTGTACGCGGCCTGAGAACAAAAAGCTACCCTGCTGAAGTGTCATTGAGTGAAACTGAAACTGCTCCAGGGACGTTCTTGAAGAAGATCCATGTCTTAAAATTTTGATCCAAGAAAAAAACTTCACTGCAAGGTCCCTTTAGTAGCTGCTTTGGATAAAGATGCACCAATCCACTTTAATCTGATTCCGATCTGCATTTGATTGGTACTGTAGTGTGACAACTTCCACCGCTCAGAATGTTTGCTGTATACAAGTTGCTGTCTTACCTTTCTGTGTTTCAAGACTAAAATATCTCCAAACTAAGAACATGTTGAGGCTGCCAACTGTTACTAGCTCACTCAGTTGCTGACTGTCTCATTTTTCATTATGGAATGTTTATGGTCCAGTGCAAGCTACGCCTGTACGTCTAACTCTTCTGGAAGAGGTAGATATATGGCCACTACTGGATATCTTTTTGGAATTGTTTACTAAATACTACTGCTACTATTTCTAATCAATTATTAATTTGCACTACATAATTTTGTCACCCGATATCAATGTTGGATCAGATCGGTCCGACCTCTAGAAGGACCAGAAAATGTATTCTTTGTTTACTGCAGAAAGGAGGGACTGGAAGACAGAAAAATATCGCTTACAGCACCTTTAAGGCAAAGTAGCATTCCAGTATAGTAAAAACTGTCCACAGTGCACATGGAGAGGGAGGAAGAAGAGGGTTAATAGGGGTCCAACACCGCGTACAGCCATGTCTGACCCCTTGAAGGCAAAAATAGAATTTCCTTTTTAAAATAATATCAATAATTAGCTTTGGCAACGTGCTGTGTGGAACTAAGTTACTCTTAAACATCAACCAATCACAGCTCAGTCAGTCGTTTCTGTGTGTGTTGCTCAATGACAGGGTAGCATGGATGTTGACTGCTGCGGTTTAAATTCGTATCATTTATCCACCAATTAATCATTGTACTGCTCCTGGACCAAAGGTGGACCAAAGTCCTCCTTTACTGTATGACATCCAGAGGAAGACTGCAAACAGCTTGAGTCTGTTCTCCAGGTCTAGGCCTTTGATACTTCAATGCATCCCTGCCATACAAATGTTTAATTGTCTAGAACAGCTTCCATTCCTGAAGGCTTGGGATCATCCAGGATCATGTGTACAACTTCAGTAACTCCACACAGTGTTTTATTTCTCTTCTGTTTCGCTGATGTTGTGTTTTGAGTTAATGCTTAACTGTAATCTTTTGTTGGGATAAAGAGATACCACGCAAAACAAGACAGTCAACCTCAAGTGTGTGTTTTTATTGGCAGACGGGGAGTGTGTTGCCTTCTGCACCCTTGAACTGTGTTGATACATGAGCTGAGATTCAATATGAAGAGCAGACACACGCTGCTGCCAGGGCATGCCAAATCTTCTGATTTCAGTCAGATTGTTATTATGTGTTTTGTATTGACGTGGGGATAGGAATGCTTTGAATGTAGAAGAACGTGAAAAGACAGTGAGAATAAGAACATGAAGGAGGGAAAAGAAAACAGTGGTTGCGGACTGGTTTCAATGTATATTTCAGTTTTTCCTTATCGATGTGTTTGAACTTATTCTTACTAATTCAGCTGCTTTGCAAATATATGTGCCAGCATGCATATCATTCAAGTTCTTATCCTGTGTCCCTATGTTAATCATCCTGGTATCTCGTTATATGTCAACTACCTGTCGGTTTTTAACATATCTATATATGAAAATACACTAAACACTAAAATATTATATATATATATTTTATATTTTATATATATTTTAGTTTCTGTCAACTTGTTAAAGTTACAATGTTACGCAAAGTAAAATGACCACTTTTTTCTAAGGAGTCTGGTGGTGAGCGATTGCGATATTATGGCTGTTTCTGGTTAAACAAAAGTTCTATCTCTGTAAGGATCCTTTCCACAATGTTTTCAGGCACTTGGAATAACAATTTGAGCCTGTCAGTGGCAAAAAGCAAGCACTTTTGGAGGCTGTACTTTTTGGGCAAATTTGTCCCAAACCATTAGCTATGGTTACATGGCAGCCTGCTTCTCTATTTTCTCATCCAACTTTGTGAATTGAGGGTTTATTTGGACAAAACCAGCGTTGGTGATTTTGTTGGAAAGACTGTGGAAAGGCTAACAAAGACGGTTTTGTTGAGTTATATTTTGTGTCTGTCCAGTTTGAAGTGTGTTTTACGATTATCTGCTAGGTAAAATTATTAGGTTTTGTCAATGGAGTCTGGTTGGTCGTAGCAGAACAGCACAAACTGCAGTCTACTGATAACATAATTAGATAAGATTACCTCCAAATAACGGGCAGATAGTCCTCCAGGCGCTGACCCCTCCCAGGCTTGTGTACTGTCCCAGTGAGGTCTCCAGGAGGAACAGGGGGATGCCGCACAGCACCAGGAACAACAGGTAAGGTACAAAGAACACACCTGGACAAACACATAAGGTGCTATTATTAATAATACTACTATAAGGACCTTCACTGATTACAATCAGCCCAATATCTTACCCTAAATTAACTTTTTCCACAGTTGTAACTGTATTCTAAACCCTACAACCAAGTAATAATGCATAATTAACCCTTACATTGTTATAAAACTTTAATCATTTTGATATTAACCCTAAATTAAATTCCTGGTCACCAATATGACCTGGAAAAATAGTAGTGCTTTGTATTATATAATAGATATATTTTGGAATCTTTCTTCATCTGTCCATCTTTAAGCTGTAACAAATACGTTGCAAATTTCAGCACTACTTTCAGAGAATCATTAAAAGATGGCAAGAGAGGAAAAGAGGAAACCAGAGAGAGACAAAGACAAACGATAATTTCAGCTGAAACTTTGTCTCTTGCCCTCCCCTCCTTTGCTATCCACCACGCTTTACCTCCTCCGTTCTTGTAGCAGAGGTACGGGAACCTCCAGACGTTGCCCAGGCCGATGATCTGCCCCGCCACGGCCAGGAGGAACTCAGCCTTGCTAGCCCACTGACCCCTGGCATGCAGGCCGTCGCCTTTGGTGACCTCTATCCCGTTGTGGAGGCTCCCTTGGTGGAACTTATCCAGCAGCGCGTCTCCTTGCTCTGGAGGCATTTTATCGGCCATTATCGGTTCCGGCAAAGACACACACACCCCCCTGAGGAAAGAAAAACAAGAAATGAAAAGAGAAGTTGGAAGGAGAGAAACCAAAGAGGATGCATGTTCTGTGTCAAAGAGGGTAACTACACAATGCAAACAAAAATAATGCCGGACAGTAAACGTATTCTAGAGAGAAGAAAGAACAGGTTCACTCACATCTTCGCAGTCGGGCTTGAATAGTGACAGTTGACTGCCTCACTTATCTTTTGTGTGTGTCTCAAGGATGGACTTGTGTGGGTGTGTGTGCTTTATCTGTACTGCACAGCACACTCAAGGACTACATTTGTCAGTTCATGCATGAACATGTGGATCTTTCTGGGGACTATTTTTCTCACAAGATCACTCAAATGACCTCACTTTTGCTATTTAGGACTTTACTTGTGTACAACATACTTTTATTATGGAGGAGACATTACAAGTAACTGAAATATTGAGTTGACACTGCATAACACATCTACATCCACATTGTTTTTGTATTGTATTTTTTTTATGGTGTATTTTGAACAGAACACTCGTTTATGTAGTCTTTTATCCGGTCTTTCAGATCCATATATTTGAATTATGAAAGGTTGGGGGGGGGTTGCATTTGCTGCGACCTCCGTTGCCACTCTTCCTTTTCTTTCACATTGTCCCCCTCTTGTGCCATGTGACCACATAACGTAACGCGCGCCAGCGAGCCTTTCATAAGCCACCTTTCACTATCACTGGCACACCGGAGGGGGGGAAAATAACGGAAATGATACTGTAGCAACCTGTACTGTCAGTGGTAGCAACACACGGGCTGCTGTGAAGGCTCAGTTATCACCGTATTGAAGGCAACACGTCTTCATACAACAGTTTTTTAACAGTTTCACGAGAACAGGCGGTATTGAGCAGCACAGGTGGCGCAATTAAAGTCTCACACGATGCTCTGTAAATGATGCTTTAAATAAAAACGGTGAAAATGTGCATTATTCCTCGCCAGGTGTGTCGTGTAAGAGGATAAATCGCAGACATTTCGACATAACGTTGCCTACCTCCACGTTGCCTGCCGGTCTCCACACCGCGACCACCCCCGTGTCCGGCTGGTGAAATGGTTTGTTCCGGCCACTGTACAGCTGCCGGCCGGTGCAGCGCGCGCCTCACACACACACACACACACACACACACACACACACACACACACACACACACACACACAGGGACTATGTTTGGACTGAGAGTGGCGCGTGAATATATACCAACAACGAAGGGGTTACACAACTACTGTTTAAATGGCTATTTAATTTGAGCACTTAGCTCTGATATTGACATTATATATTATTAATGTTATTAATGAGTAGTTATATTCCAAATGCAGGTCTTTATTGGCAACACCTTTACCTTAAAGTAGCGGTGCGATTGCACTTACGTTATTTTAAGATTTCATAATGCTGTAATGCTAAATTATGACGTCATCAGCGAAAGGTCCTCCCCTTCCTCTCTTACTTAATGTATTATGAAGAGAAGCATGAAAACATTGCCCTCTGTGTATATTTATATACGGTTCCTTACACCCCTTCAAATCAAGAAGTGATTGATTCCCCCTGTGAGGCTTTGGCGATCCCTCATGGGGGTCCTGACCCCCGGGTTGGAAGTGTCAAGCAAGTTGCAAGAAATGTTTTCTTGGGCAGGCCAAGTCGAGTCGCAGGTTAAATCAAGTCAAGTTGAGTCCTTAGTTCCACATTAAAATCCTTAAAAAGGCATCTGCTCCTTCTACTGAGAATTACAATTACTGGCCCGGCTGTAGGCCTCCTCCAACCAGTCATGTTGCAGTTTATATCTATGTCTGTCCAGACTCATATAATATGTGTGACAACCCAAAAACATAATGGAGGCGCTGAGTTGAGGAGTGACTTGAACACTGGTCACACCACAACTCATCTGCATGGTTTAACCAGATTCAAAATCACTATTTGTTTTCATCCACATACATTAGATTGCTGAAACATGAGAGAACCACCAGCCTCCGAGCTCCCAATTGTGGACTCTGTCCTGTAAATGGTCTCGGCGTCTTAACCATTTAGGCCACCTCAAGCAGCTCTCAGCACATTTAATGGGCTGTGTCATTGCCTGTGCTCATTCAGCTGAGCATTTATAGCCACAGTAAAAAGTCCAGGCTCCAGCTAACACTCTGCTCCAAGGACTTCATTCAGAAAATTGCATTCCACTGTATAGACATATTAGGTTAACTTACTAGGTGTATAAATCACAAGCAAACGTGGAGACTGACACATGCATACCTGTGTCTCAGCTAGAAGGATTATGCTATAAATGAATCATACTGCCTCAAACTTTCTAAAAGCCCTCAACCTTCCAAAACCAAACCAATCTGCCACTCGAAACACTCATCCAAGTAGTTGAACAGTTCAGCCTTTTTCTGTTGTCTTGGCAGGTCCAATGTGATGTGCTCACAGACTTTATGAGAAGTTGGTTTAACTGCTAAAGGACTCCCTATCGTTGGAGTCAGTTCGATACAGCATGTTCAGTACATCTGAATGTCGTGTCTCCTGGTTACTCTACATTTGAGTAGAGGGAGTACTGCTGCCAATTGTACAGAACGGACAAATTAAACAAAACAAAGGAGAATGATTCAACACTTTTGTGTTCATGCGGTTCATTCAAGGATAGCGCGGACTGTGGCCCTTTATGGTTATGTTGATAAAGGCATGAACCTTTACATAGATTAGATAACGTTCAAGTGCTCAATGTGAATTGCAGTACAGTAGCAAAGCCAATAATGGCACAAAAGCGTCTATACATACACACTCCCACACTGCAACCACACACAGACACACATATATATGCACATACCTAACAAAACACAACCTATTACCTACATCCCCGGGTGCATATCCCAGTCTCCACAGCTAGTGAAATGCAAACGTCTGGTGGTGATAACAGTCGATTCCAGCTGCTAACTACAGCACAAAAGCAGTTCATTTCAACAAAGCTTTGGAACTCATCTGCCATACTGTATTATTTATATTGTTAAATGCCTTCTTAATGAAGTGAATCATTTTTGTGTTAAAAAATTAAGATGTGTTCTTCAGCCTTAAACTATTTAAAATTCTAATGATATAATCAAATATTCAGAAATATAAAAAATTACTGTAAATTCTTTCAAAAGTAATAAAATCATAAAATACACAATGATACCTGAGTACAATGCTGACATTCATCAAGCTAAAGATATACTGACTCGTTCAAATTACACTATTTCCATGGGTCGGTCCTTATATGAATTTATGTCAGAAATTACTTTAGCCTCCCTCATTAGTAGAGACTCCCCCCACCCCCCAGAAAAAAAATCTAAAAGTCAAGGGGTCAAGAGTCAGGAAGTGGTAAAAAGTCTTGCAATCATATACAATGCACAAATTCCTCAACCGCACGTGTGCACTCCACTGCATATCCTCTCTTCAAATGCAGACTCTGCTCTGCTTCCCAGGGGCCAAATAAAACCCCAGCGTTAAGGGTCCTTCTATACAGTCGCCATTGTTCTGCCCTGACAAACCTGTAGCCCCTGTAAACGTGGTGCCACGGGGTGTAACTCAGACCAGCCGTGGCAATTTCTGCATGCTTTATGGCAGCTTTTATTGGTGTCTGGCATCCAGGACAAGGGCAGTGGGTCACTGATATACAGCGGTATGCATTGTGAAACTCCTCCAGCCTCCGTCTATCCTGTTGTATAACTGCAAGGTTTTCAAAACTTTTAATAGGAAGTGACACTGTGGGGGAAAGAAAAAATCTGCTTTGGTTATGATATCTGCTGAGTTCTTCCAATGAGCACAAGCTGAGCTACAGTACAGCACACAGTAAAATACTTATCTACATATTACACACATGCAGCACAGACAAGGGCTCAATATACACAAAAACATTGTAGTTTTATGACACTGTAAATTTAGCCAACAATATCTGAGCCAAAAACAAGTTCAGGTGTTAAATATCAAAACTTAAAACTGAAATTTAAAGTGATCTGAACTGTGTTGGTAAGCAAGACCATGCCTTGTGTGTAATTGTGTCATGATAAAGAAATTGTTAGTATCGAAATCCTTAAATTACATTACCTCCTTACGCCGGTGTGAAACTAATGTCTGCAAGTTTTGGGATTGGTTACAGAGATCATCCGACAAGCAGAAGGTCTCAGGTTGACTATGGCGTCCAACGCTCAAGTCTCTAAACGTAGGGTCAGCACAACAGATACCTGACACCTGCCGGCTCATTCATTGTAACCCAACCTGGTTGCTAGCCACATGTCTACGGCTGTACATACACACTCCTGCTTACTGGCCACAAACATTCCCGCTTAGTGCGACAAGAGCTGCCTTAATCACTTCTGTTCTTTGAATAGGTCGCCTCACAAAAGCTATTGTGTAGCACAAAGGATGGTAAGATAAAGACAGCACAACAGGTTTGCTACCAGTGACTGGTATTTTGTACTACGACATTGTTGAGATAACATGAAGATGTAAGGGGGTTTGGTAGGTTTGACTTAAGGAAACTATAACAGAGAAGATACTAGCTATCTATCTGTATCTATCTGCACACGGTACCCTTTAAACGCAGGACTTTGAACCAAGAGACCGGTGTTTTTGTCCCGTGTGAAATCGAGTCATTTAAAGGTCCAGTGTTTAAAATTTTGAAGTGGCAAAAATTGCCTTTTACATCTACAGACGTCACGTGTCGCCTTTCACTGGAGCCATGTTGAACAGCCATGTTTCTACGATAGCCCAGAAGAAACAAACCAAACGCTGGCTCTAGTTAGTGGTGTTTTTGTTTTTTGTGTGTTTCACAGCCACTGTAGTCCCTCCTACGCGCTTGGAAGGCGAGGGTGAAACGAGGGAGTTGCAATCTCACTCTCAGGAAGAAGATAAATAAGTGGAATTCCTTTTACACAACATCAGCATCACTTGCTCTTTCTGTGGTACCAACTGGATAGTTGAAGCCAAGTCAGTTCTTTTTGAATTAACAAAATGAATAAAATGGGTTAGGGTAACATAAAGTTTGACAGCTTAACAAAGGATTTAATGATTTAAACCAAGTGAAATAAATGGGTTACTTGGCAGATTTTCTTTTTCCCCTTTGAGGGAGGTCGGAGGTTAGGGTCAGTACAGTGTAGCAACCCCGCAGCTCAAAAGCAACTCAACGGCGTGGATGTTTGACAACACAAGGCCATCCATTTGATTATAGTCGGCCAACTATCAGACCAGAAAGGTGAATACAATTAAATATTTGGAGGATGATTCTAATTTTTTGAGCAGAAAGACCAGACCCATTAATCTGCTGCCTTCAACCTTCAGGTCAAACACACTCAAAGTGGTCTTCTTGCCTCGTTTGAACCATTTAAAAGTGGAGGTCCTGATGTGGTCAACATCAGACCTCTAACTCCCCATCTCCTAAATAGGTAAACATTCCTGTGGCTTAACCCCTTCCCTCTTCAACCTGTGTGAAAAATATACCCTGTAAAAGAGGAGTCACTTAAATGTAACCTCTGGCCTTATGTCCACACTGTACAGGGCTCTCCTGAGGCTTGTGGTAGGCCAGATATTTGATGCTGATAATCTTTCCTTGAGGTTTTATGGGAATGTTTTGAGGGGCAATCCCCTACATGAGTCTTTTAACTATAGTGAGTTGTCCCGTGATGTGTATGTGCTGCTTTCAGAGTTTTATGGGGCGTCACTGGAAATTTAAGGTACTTTATCCTGATCCCAGTCTATGCTCATTTGTTGTTAGTTTTTTTGTCTTAATTCATATTTTCTTTTGCTTCTTTCCCCATTGATTTCCAATTAGAATATACTAACTGTGAGATGAAACTGCTCATCATTTAGGGTGGAAAGTTTGCTCAGCAGAGTTCGTCAGTCTGCACCAGTGGTGAAATGCTTCAACAAATAGGTCAACGTGTCTATGAACATTTCTTTGTGTTAGTGTAACCTAAGCCGTCTTTACATTTCTTACAGTCAACCATGTGAGCGTTGATGAATGGAACAACGACCATTTTACATTCTCTCACGTATTTATAAAGGCATCTGCTCTCCATGCTGCTCAGAAGGACCAATAAGTGACTGCAGCACTGTGCCTGTGCAAATGTACGGTAACAATTAGCAAAATAGTGCAAATCAGAAAAATCACCAGTCGCCTAACGCTCAGTTAGCTCCGTTTAGTCTGGAAGCAGTGGGAGAAAGAAGTCCGCTTACCAATACTAAAGCTAACTTAATTTATTAAACTGTACAAAAATTTAGATTTTTTTTAAACCTTTGGACAGAGCCAGGCTAGCTGTTTTCCCCAAGTTCGCCGAGCTTTAAGGCCAGTTTGTCATAGTGGTATCCAGTTCTCCTTTACACTGTCTGCTGGCTCCAGCTGTACAGTTAGCCTACAGACATGAAAATGCTATACATTTCCTCATCTAACTCTTGGCAACAAAGCAAATCATTTTCCAAATGCCTAGCTATTCCTTTAATATTTTAGCTAACACATTGTCAAAAACAAAGAAAATACACCAAGAATGCGATTTATAATCCCGCTCCTGTCTACATAGCAAATGCAGCACTTTAAATCCCCTTGATGGATCCAGATTTTTGTGGTTTCATTAGTGTCATAATCAAGAAACCAACTGCCTTTAAGCACAGTATATAAAGCTGCTTATGTCATCATTTGACCACCATAATTCTGCTTGAATTGATGCGTAGTTGGATCTAAGGACCTGACTTCCTAGAATGGCCAATTAATCGGTCATATTGAAATGAAACTTGAATTGTTTCTAGACAACAATGCGCAAAATTAATGCAGTAATAGTTACACATATTATTTGGTTAAGTGGTACAAAATAGATAAAAACATACAAAAAGAAGGATGTAAAAGATATTTTGAGAATGTGAGTCTCGAGGAACACTCCTGTCCTTATGCTGAACTTACCTCTGTTTGTGTGGATTCTCACTAAGCCTTCAATGTAGCCCCTTAATGAGATTAATCAAGACTGTTCGTCCGGATCATTTTACAGAAAAGTGAGTACGACCTTGCCTCTCCCTCGCCCATCCAGTCTTTGCCTGCAATGAACTGCTTTCAGTTAAATCTAGTGAAGCTAGATTCCTGTTGCTCACTGAGCCTGAAGTCACAATATGGGGATTTTGTGGGGTTGTTGGACTAGTCTCATTTCACACAACCCTTAAGCAACACGAACAGTGGTCAATTTGTGTAAACCATACAATGTTAACAATGTTTAACATCTTGGTTTGCCAGTGTGAACGCCTGGAAGGTAATTTTAACACTGCTGTAACAATGATAGCCAATATTGTACATTATAGTTTACAGTATATTACACAGGATAGCAGTATAATATTTGATAGAGTTGAACTTGTTTCAAGCGGTGCTGTGTACACTCTTGGATACACTGATGTAGTGAAAGAGGGATAAAAGTGAGTGTGGAAGTCAAGCCTCCAGCCAGCAAGTCAGCTGTACAGTGATAATGTGGTTGAGGCTCCCAGACATTCACACTCTGGGCTGAGGTTGTCCCAGGGTGGAATGCAGCGCTGGATTATCTCAAAACATCAAATAATAAGCCCCCCTTCCGCTACAACTGACAGAAAATAGAAAGACTCCTGTTTTTCATCCCCGTGGAGAATTAAAGTCATGAAGAAAACTCTGCGGGAGTCTAACTAAGTCCACAGAAATAATAATTTGATTAATTTTCAGTGATTAGTACCCCACATGTCTCCATTGTTGTGCACATGACAACGTTGTGGGGTACCTGCGAGGTAATTATATCATCACAGGCCATCGCTTCCATTATAACCTGATTATTCAATTATCGGGTTCTTTGCTGACTCGGCAGCTCTTTCTGGCGAGGGTTTGCATTCCATAGAGAGCCTTTACATACGCCTGGACGCAGAGAGACTTATTAGAGGTTAAGCACCTCAATCAAGGGGCTCTGAGGGCCACACTGGTCCACTGGGAATTTGTGGAGGGGCCTCTTGATTGTCTGACCAGCGAGGTTACAGAAAAACATGGCAGAGAAAGGAAGTGAGTTGCATGAAAAGTGGTCAGATAGGAAAATAATTACCATGCTCTGTTGGTATCTTAAAGAATTTTGATGCATTTTCAGAGAGAAACCGAGCAACAGCTGAAGAGAGGGATTGGTTATCACCACTGTAACTACCAAAGAAGACACCAAGGTCATGTCCTCTGTACACTTATTGGCGTCAAAATTCCTAAATTTGACTGTTTTAGGCCAAAAACATACATAAAATGAAGAAATGTTGCATTTGTCCAGCAGGGTTATATTCCTGGCATTGTGGGGAAGGCTTTAAAACAACATTCAGATTATCAAGTAGGGAGAGTAGGGAGTGATTTACAATCTAATTTTGCTGTATGAATCAGGTACCAATAAAATACTTCTACAATAAATGATTGACAAGACCCTCATCATTCTAAAATTTGTTTTGTTTAGTTTTTTTGTTTCCCTGTACTGTACCCGATATATAGTATTTACAAAACTACTAGTATATCCGATTTCCTCTAAAGGCCCATTGTAACTTCACTATTCCCTTTAGTCTTGTTTTCTTCCACGTCTCAGTACGTCTCAGAAAATGGAAAGAATTTTGTTGGCACCTGGTTCAAATGACAAAATTACACTGATATGTAAATCTGTAAATAAAGTCTTGCTGAAATGTTTACAGACTGTTTTTGGTTTTGGCTGCTCAAGAAAATGTCTTGGGTGTGGTTGGACTGACTGACTCTGGACTCCTGATTTCTAACATTCTGGCTACGTCCCCGACTAAGCTGCAGCTGATTGTTGGCAATGGTGATTTGATCATCTGTTATTCTGCCCAGATACTGCAAAAACACAAGCAAAAATATGACTGTTATGGAGATAATCCATCTGATTTTTGCTGAGATATGAATGAGTGTCGGCCAGGATACTGATTCACAAGCACACTGACGAAAGCTAGCAAGTAGATAGCATCTTTGACACACATGTTTCCAATGAAGTGATCACATACTATTTCCATAATGGGAGGATGACACAGACCAATAAATGATCTAATATAGAACTCTTCACCCAGCCGCCTGCTGTTATATTGGCTACATTGTGCACAGCTACGGTTCATGAACACACCAAAGCATCAAGGCCTTCCTTATCCCATTGACATACAGTGG